CACCAACTCGAGATGCCTTTGGATACTACTACATCAAAAAATCGAGTCATATTTTTGTATACTACCAAGTCGAGATACCCTTGAGTACTACTTCATCGAAAAACTTGATCATACTACCGAGTCAGCTTTTGAGGTCTGACTTTTTCTGCATTGGCAAATATCATGATGACAATTACAGTTGAGAGCCTTCCAGTATATGATCTTAGCAAATGCCACAAAATTAATAGTACATGGAGTAAAAGGCTGTTTGCCGAAACTAGGGAGTTTCAGCAGAATGGCGTATGCGAAACCGCCGAATAGTTTCGGTAGATCATTCTGAAATGGTGAAACTACCGAAACTATAGTAATAGCTTAGTTTTGGTGTAAGATTTAATAATCAAACAACCATTTGTCAAGCATCTATGACAACGATATAATGCGTAAATACACTCAAAAAAACTGTCTGGTGAAACTATGCCTGGTGAAATTAATGTGATGAAACTATGTCTGATAAATTAATATTCGAAATGGAGCAAGATGCTAAAAATTTTTTCGATAGAACTGCCTGGCCAAGTGGATTCCTTTACGAGGAGAGCGAAGAAATTTAGATGTTTATAACTGTTACAAAGTCTCAATAAATTGGAAGCTTTATTTATTGAAGATACTGTAATTTTGGTCTACACTTAGAGTTTACGAAACACGAAGCTCGTTGGCGTTACCCACTCAGGGTCAACTGGTATGTCAACTGTTATTCGACTTGATCGATAAAGCCAAACTCGCACTATTTTTTAAGGAGCCGGTAGAAATAACACTGTCGGAATGGAAAGATCTTTTACACGTCTGACAGGACCACTACTAAATCCAGGAAGGCAAGCTCGCCTCCTGATCCCACAGATGGAACCAAGCCATTGCCATTCGTAAACACAATAAACATCGTGGTAAAGGTTTTGGACCAAGCGGAATTCCCAACTCAGTCGAGGTACCCGGCAGAACTACTAATACTAAACATCTGAACCAGCTAAATATCCCGAACGAAATAATTGGGCCGAATGTGAGGAATATCGTTATTAGGGAATTTAAAGTGGGAAGGCGCGTTTGGATCCTCCAGCCAAAATTGGTGGTATAGTTCATAAAGAGGGATATCCAAATTATTGTTTGATATTCATCGAAGATGAACAATTATGAATGGATTTATTCAAACATTGTATTTTTCTACCCATAATTCCGATCTGGTTTTAAAGTTATGCTTGGCCATCGAAAGTTGGATATACTTTTTTAATAAAAAGAAAGTAATAGTGATATATAATGTTTTTATTATGCATATATGGGATAATATTTTTGTGTTAATTGGACATAAAGTATTTTCTGGAGAATTGCAAATTGGTAACTAGTACATACAATATTCCTCTCTTGGTTGAATCAAAACATTACTCATCTTTTTTGTTATTATTTAATCCTTGCCTTGAATATAGGCGTCTTTGATTCCACCATTTTATCATGCATGTCCATCACAATACTTGTGATGATTATGCAATCAATGCTTCCAAATTGTATACAATTACAAGATGTAGAATCCTTGAAATCAATTTTTCAAAAAATGAAATGAATAATATTAAACCTGGCATTGAGCTTAGATGTCAAGTTTAACAAAATTATCCCTTTTACATCCTACGCAACACTGTTTGCTATCCTCACGTTGGAGACAATGATCTCTGGCAATGAAATAAATCAAAATCCACTGATGGTATACCAGTATTCTGCTTACTTTTGCTTGAACTAGTGTTAGGTGTGAAACTATTTTGAAATGGCAAAAGTTTATAGTTCTGCAAAAAAGCCCAGGAAGAATTTATCAAAGAAACAGAGAATTTAGAAAAACAATCATTTCCTATATAAATTTTAATGGGATGTATCAAATCTGTAGAATGTGCAAAGCTGTAACCATCAATCTAAAAAATAATAAAATGAAATAAATGAAATTTCAATCAATTTCTAACCCGATTGTATAACTGAACATTTATTTCATACCGCCAGATATCATCTGCCTCATAGTGACCAAGGCTCCA